AAATAATTTCGTATAAACATTAAAAAATCACCACTTTTCATTACGGTAAAGTGACTTAAGCCACTTTCAAAATAAATAGTTTAGAAAAATGACTGACATATGTTAATTTTGTCCGACGTATTTTACTGAAGTGACGTTTCGAAAGGACANCAAAATAAATAGTTTAGAAAAATGACTGACATATGTTAATTTTGTCCGACGTATTTTACTGAAGTGACGTTTCGAAAGGACAGTGATTTACTAAAATTGTTGAATAAATTACATATATAATAATAATTTATACCATGAACATATTTAATATAAAGGTTTGATTTAAGTATTTTTTATTTTAATATTCATAAAATACAAAAATAATTGGTACATTTTGAAACATAAGTATAAGTCATTTATATGAAAATACATCGGTTCAATTTAATTTTCGTCATCGGTAGGAGTGATTAAGTCCTCGGAAATCGTGTTTTGTTTCAAATCTTTTAAATAACTGTGGTATATCGGGGGTATATAATTAAGCAAGTCCATCGTGTCTTTGTATTTTGCTGAAGAAACAGGACGAGATCCAGCGCACAACAGATTCATTTCTATTTGTGAATAACGCCTATAACGTATAACGTATAATAACGCCTATCACTATAATATAATTTACAAAACTGCGCTATTCTTTCGCACTTATAAAAATAAGTCCAGCGATCACAACTTTTTTAAAAATACTGAAAATAATTCAAAACAATACTTCACGCACACTTATCACACGTTTCTATTTCTTTCACACTAAGCCCCGCAATTAATTTCCCGAGTACAGCGACTTATGCCACTTTCAAAATAAACACGTTTGTTATACCGTTAATCAGCAAAACTTCTTTCGAACAAATCTCAATAGTTCTCAACTTATCGATCGCAAATTTTCTTTAAATGAAAAGATACCGTTCAATTGTAATTAGTGTTACCATTAACTCGATCTTTTTGAAAAACTGACTTATGCCACTTTCAAAATAAACGGCTCGTATTATGGAAGATTGTAAAAATGATCGATAGGTACGGGAACGACACGCGAGAGAGAGAGAGAGAGAATAACACGTGCGCTGCGCAGGCATCGTCCTTGATGGGACATCGTCCTATGTTTACATAACATTTGTTTTTCTTCTTTAGTGCCATAGTATATACACCGACAAAGGGACAGACCGACTGTATAAAAGAAAGGGCTTTCGAATTGCATTTGTACAGAAAATAGAATATGAAACACGAGAACGAAACATGATATGAAACAACAAAACGTTCGAACGAGTAACGCTTCGCAGGGCTGTCCGTAGAATCAGATTTCCTCGTGCCGGGACGACTACAGAAACCACTTTGTCATTCGTCCAATTTTTTTTTGTTTTTTAACTAAAAGGAAAATCGAGAAGGGGATCAGACCGAGAATGGAACCGACCGAGCAATTACGACCGGAGCAGCTTGTGGGCCTGGTGGCCCGGTCCGCGGAGGGCACAGCGGCGAAAGGGATGCCGATCAAAGGGCACGAGGACCTCTGGGTGGAGATCCAAGCGAACACGTTCAGGAATTGGGTGAACGAGCACTTGAAGCACGCGGCGGACGCCGCCGACGGGCCGGTGATCGATCTCGCGGAGGATTTTCGGGACGGCACGCGGCTCTGTGCCCTCGTCGAGGTACTGACCAAGCGGCGGCTGCCCAGGTGGAACCCAAGGCCAGCGAATCAACACCACCATCTGGAGAATGTGTCGACGGCGCTGCAAGCCATCGAGGCTGACGGAGTGAAGCTCGTCAATATCGGTGAGTGGATCGACCGACCGGCCGCAGCTATCCACCCAGCCGCGTCGCGTCGTCTCCTACACTAAACGATTTCCCGCCATCTTCCTGCCCCCTCGCCCCCTCCCCTCTCCCAAGCAGGTGTACATACGTACCCAGGCTATTCTTCGAATGACTTCACCGGGCGTTACGTGGTCACCGTTATGTTTCACAATTTTGCCCGTAACGCCTTCTTAGATAATCATGCGCCGCCACAGATAACCCACATACGAACCTTTTCGTTTATTGGTCGAGTATATGTATATACCTTTGCCGCGTGCTTCGAGAATGAACGGCCGCCGCGAGTCATGAAACGCGAAACGCGACGAAGTTTTCGTTCCAACGATATTAATGGGATTTCGTAGACCCGCGGCGGGGGGGGGGGATCGTTGAAGAGAAAGAAAAAACCCTGGGGCGAATGGGGGGCGCCGAGCCACGATATCAAGATTCGTGGCCGCTCGTAAAACTACGTGGGCCGGCATTCCTCGGTCCATTCAGCTCTTTGCTTATCTGTCCGTCCACTTAGATACGCACGAGCTCCCGTCCGCGATTAGTCGATTCGTTTCGATTCCGGTTTTTCGGCGATACTTGTCCCCCGGTTCGTCGAAAGGAAGCCGTATCGAGGCATGGATCGACCTCGTGGCGTGACTCATGCCGCGCCGGTTACTACTCGGGAAAGCGATACCGTATCAAAGTAAATAGTTGGTCTGGGTTGGCCTTTTAGGCACGACGCGCCACTATAGTGGCTTTCGCGGATGTCGTCTCTCTGGACGACGCGCCACTATAGTGGCTTGCTCTAGTAGCTCACTCGCTCATCGTTCGAATCAAATAATCGTCTTCGTATGCATTGTTTCACATTTCTTTCGTCTTCGCATCGATTTACAACAGTCTACAGGGTGTCCCAAAAATGTCTCGCAATCCAGAAATGGCGGGTTCCTCGGATCATTCGAAGCAACTTCTTCCTTTACAAAAATGTTCTCCGAGGCACCGTTAACGAGTTATCAACGAAAAACAGTGACCAATAAGAATCGAGTACGGCCGACGCAAGGCGGCCCAGCCGACCAGCGCGCGAAGCCCGGTTCCGCTCATTGGCTCGATCGCCTCGCGCCAGCCGAGCTCGCCTCTCATTGGTCAGTGTTTTTCGTTGATAACTCGTTAACGGCGCCTCGGAGAACATTTTTGTAAAGGAAAAAGTTGCTTCGAA